GTCTGGATACAGACTGAGCATATATCTGTTTTTTAGGTCTCTTTAAGCCAACGTGGAGTCTGATCTTACAAAAGGACTTTTATTTTGGACTCTGTGTGCTGCCTTAGGGTTAGGGATGTGGTGCTCTTGTGGGGGGGAAGTGAGCTCCAAGAGTAGTTTTTTTTTCATCTCTTAGTGATCTTCTGTTTCAGTTGAATGCCACAGATTCCCTTTTAAACTTATTTTGCTTTAAAAAAAAAAAAAGAAAATTTAACTTAAAATATTTTAGCATTAGTTGCACAAAATGTTTGGATAAAATTCTAGTTTTTATAAGTCTTTTTTATATATTTAGCCTGTCACAACAGTGCTTAAGATTGTATTGAAGTTTTTCTGCATTATACAACCCTAAAACACAGAGATCTCACTAACCCGCTGCTATGTAACCACACTCTTTCTTTTGCCTAATACAGCTCAGCTAAGTCCTTCCATAGATGCTAAATCACCTTCGTCATCACATAATTGTCTTCATAAACCAAGGACTATTAAGTGTATTAAAATGAAATAGTGGGGTTTAGTACTCCAAATGAACTCTTAAAAAAAAAACCTAATCTTGGCATCCTATCACTATGTGATATTTTGTACATCTTACTGTATTTACAAGTTTATTTATCAAGGATTATCCGTCTTGCTAATAGCTTATTATTTATTTCACTTTTTGTTGTTCTTTATATCCTTTTATTAATATGCTAAAGGAACCTGTATATCTATTTTGGAACTCTTTAAATAGTCTAAAATAGACTAAAAATGGAATATTTTATAGTTTAAGTTACATACCAAGGTGATTCTCCCCAGACACATATCTTGGTTTACCATGATTCCAAACAAAACTATCTTGTTTTAAAATATTGGGAGTAAAATATTATTTACATTACAAATAGGATACAAAATAATTGAATCAGGATACAGAAATCTGCTGTGTTTGGACTAGTTATCCCTGTTTTATTTTTTTAAATGTGCTTAATTTTATGGTGTAACAAAAGATTTTGTTTGTGTAATGCATGATTAAGACAATAAAATATTTTTTCTAGTCTTCCAAAAACTTTTCTGATCAGTTTGCGAGTTTTGATGAGTTTTGTAAGGTTTTTGTTTTACAAACGATGAATCAGCAAATTTTTAAGATTGTACCACATAGCAAATGTACAACTGTTGAAAAATAATGTATATAAAATGCATATAATAAATATCAAATTGTGTACCTGTATGTTACTGTTGGCTACATTATTTTGTGTTGAATAATAAAGTGCAATACTTTACCCTCCATCCTTAAACTAGGAAATGGAGATGATTTCCTTGGTGAGTCCTTCATTTTTATGCTGTTCTTTTAAACTTTGTACTGCTTATTGATATTCTAGCAAGATTAGAACAGTTAACACTATAAAGAATGCCTTGCTAAGTATTTCATCCCATTTGGGATAATAAAATCTTCTGTTGACATAAGTTACATAATTCAAAAAGACCAAAAAAAGAAGAAAAGACAGATATAGTTTTAAATCATTTCCTTAAACATCATGTTATTTTATTAAATCTGAATTCAATTGGTAGTGTTGTCACTCCTATCTAGCCATACGTGTTTCCACAAAATGTTCAGCAGAAAATAAACTGCATTATTCATTAATTAAAGGTTGTTCTTATAAATAGTGTTAACTTACTATCTCAAAACTTTTCCTTCAACAAGGTAATATCCTTTTTCTTTGAAGGGAATTAATTGCACATGGAATTAGAAGGTAACATTAGAAAACTTTCATTGCAAAATTTTATGTGAATGCCTAATGCAAAAAAAAAAATCACATTGTGTGTACTTTGAGAAATTTTGTCATCTAGCATAAAAATCCAAGTGGCTGTTTTAGTTATTGTTGAAACATAAAGTTTTCGGAAATCTTTTAAAAATACTAGTTTTATAGCTTTCTGAACTGAAGATTCAACTTGATAAACAAAGGGGCACTTTTTAAAAATAATTTAAGCTTTTCAAAAGCTACTAGCATTTCTGGCAGTTATTCTAAACCAATGCATTACTGTTTAACTGAAATGTGGTTATCACTGCAATGCATAAACATTCACCTCTTGGAATGTATTAAAACAAATAAAAATTAGTATATATGTTTATTTTTCTATCTACTTTGGTTGTATTTTTCTCTACAATATTAAACATTTGGAAAAAGACTAAGGTTACAAAAAGAATGCTTTATTTTTACTTTATTAGTGTGCTTCCAATTGTGATTTAATGTGAAGTTATATAGGTTTGTTTATTAAATGGTGCTTTATACATAAAGTTTAAGAATATATGCAAACTTTAATATGTTGACTTTTTCAATATTTAATATTATTTGCCTTTTCATATTTTAGTTACTCAGGTAGTTTTCTCATATTTCAATATAAGTTATCCACTGAAGATGAGCGTCTCATTCAATACATTTAAAGTTATAAATGGGCTAGTATATTTGAATTTTAGGCATGCCTACAAAAGTTGGATTGTAATACATCTTTTCAAAAATCCTTTTACTCTTTACTCCTGTTAGTTGTTAGCTCTTTATTTTGAGTATGTTTACTTATAAGAATAACTAGTGACCTGGTGCACAGATTCATGCACATTGAAAGGAAATTAGAAGATGGCCAGCGGGGCAGGACTGGGCAAGACGGGCTAGACACGCCCTGGAGCCAGCCTCCCACAGTCCCTCCCTGGCTGCATGGCTCCAACTTGAAGGGCTTCTGCAGAATGAGCCAGGTCCCTCCAGCAGGTGAGGTCCCTTGGCCTGGCCTGTGGGGATCACGCCAAAACTACCTCTCCGACATCCCCAGAGGGGTCCTGGAGTGCGAGAGGGCACTTGCAAAGTTGCTGTCATACTGGGTGTGGAAGGCAAGTATGCAGTTAACCAGATTTGGGGCCAACAGTGACTTAGCAACAACATAACCCAAGTCCGAAAGTGGAATTGCGAGGCCCCAGGAGGAATCGGGCTCCCTCCCCTCTGGTTTTGGGGTGCGTCAACCGAGAAACGCTGCTGCCAAGTTACTGCAGCTTGGCAGCTTCTGTGTTGAACGTCTGCCCCCTGGTGGTCAGTGTGCATCATAGCTACCAGTTGGACACAGCATATTAGCCTTTTATATATATACTAGAGGCCCGGTGCACAAAAATTTGTGCACTCGGGGGGAGTGGGGGTCCCTCAGCCCAGCCTCTCGCAGTCTGGGTCCCCTCAGGGGATGACCACCTGCTGGCTTAGGCCCGCTCCCTGGGCGATTGGGCCAGAGATGGCAATCAGACATCCCTCTGGCAGCCCAGCAGCCCTCGGGGGATGTCCACTTGCCAGCAGGGAGCAGGCCTAAACTGCAGTCGGACATCCTTAGCGCTGCTGAGGAGGCAGGAGAGGCTCCCACCACCACCGCTGTACTGGCAGCCATCAGCCTGGCTTGTGGCTGAGCAGAGCTCCCCCATGTGAGAGCGCACTGACCACCAGAGGGCAGCTCCTGCATTGAGCGTCTGCCCCCTGGTGGTCAGTGTGTGTCATAGTGACCAGTCATTCCCAGTCCTTCTGCTGTTAGGGTCAGTTTGCATATTACCCTGTTACAATATAGGATAGAGGCCTGGTGCACAGGTGGGGGCCGGCTGCTTTGCCCTAAAGGGTGTCCCAGATCAGAGTGGGGGTCCCGCTTGGGTGCCTGGCCACCCTGGATGAGGGGACGATGGCTGTTTGCAGCTGGTCGCACCCCCTTCAGGGTGGGGGTCCTCACTGGGGTGCCTGGCCAGCCTGGATGAGGGGGCTTCTATAATTGAAACACTGTTGGAACTCCAGCTCTGAGGCCCAGCTGGCTGAAAGCAGGTTTCTGGGGATTGTTTAGCTTCTATAATTGCAACATAGTTGCTTAGAGTGTAGCTCAGAGCTGGGCGGTGGCAGGCGGGGAACCTTGGCTTCCTCCATCACTGGAGCAAGCAAGCCTCCTGTTCGCTTCAGCTGCCTGGCTGCCGGCCGCCATCTTGATTGGCAGTTAATTTGCATATCGCCCTGATTAGCCAATGGGAAGTGTGTCAGAGGTACGGTTAATTACCATGTTTGTCTATTATTAGATAGGATAGATTGATAGCAACTTGATAAAGTGCTCATTTCTACTCCCTTGCTCAAGTCAGTCAAAATATTAGTTTCTCTGGTTACCTCACATACCTCAAAACTTTGTTTTTTATAGAATTAAAGTTAAAGCATTTTTTAAAGGGCTAGAGGCCAGGTTTTCACTTAAGCTTAAATTTTTAAGGAGTGGTACTCTTGGCTGAGAATTTGTGCTTTATGTACTAGGAGAAAATCATGTTAAACCCATTTTAGTTATTTGAAAATCTGTTACATGAATTCATATTTGCCACATTTTATAAGGTGGAGAGGTTTATTGTCTTCCCAACTTGATTTTATCAAATTTTTATCTAGTGTCAAAGGCAATTTCAGGTATGCCTCTTCAGTACATAGTCTTTTCATTCCTTTTCCGCAAACTAAAATTGTTAGACTCAAAAGATTAACTGGAGTATGTATATTATTCCACTAATTAACACCATTTTGGGGTCGACTGGTTGTAAATCACCCAGATAGGATCAGTGACTGTGTTACAGGAGATAAGGTGCGCAGTTGAATGAGTGAGGGCAGGTCCTGTCTTGAGAAAGTAAGCAGTATGCTCTACCTGAGAGGAGAGTTCCTGGGGAGTAATGATAATTACATTAATGGAATTCTGAACACTTTTCGTAGGCACCAACTTCACAAGCACATTTAAGTAAAACTAATGCCAATTATAAAACATTTTTGTACTGTTTATCTGGTAGTGGCTGTGTATGATGCCTAGAACAGTAGGCATTCAATAAATGATAGAAAAGGCATAGTCTTATTGCATGATTTTTTTAAAAAAATTCAGTTGGCCTTTCTGCATAAATTATTGAATGCAGAATTTTTACATGCCCTAGGGAGAAACACTTAGGAAAATAAAAGGCAGCGTGAATAGTCACTAGCAATTTTATTGCTTAAATATAGTCAAACTGAAAATACTTTTCCTGCAGTTCTGCTATTTGAAATATGTGCTTTTCTTTAAAGCTATATGTAAATGGTAGGTAAAAATTTACCAACTTAACATTTTGTACATGGATGACTTTAGCGTACAAGCCATATATACTCATACACATAAAAATTAAGGGTTAGATAAATAGAAAAATACTAGGTAGTCCTGCTATCCTGTTCAGTGTAATAACTTGCTGTGAAAATACACTACAAAATAAGCTAGATACCAAGTCCTTCCATTTCATCAGCAATTATAACTTTAGAATACTAAATAACATCTACTTGGGTCAAGATATTTATATTTGAAATAACTTTTCTGTTTACATTTTTTATTTTGCTTATATGTTTAATACAGAATGATAAAAGGAATGTTGCTTTTGGTCTAAATATCAGATTCTTTTATTGAGCTATGGAATTTTCATATCTATACATTTAATATACATGTTAGAATAGAACTCCTAAGGTTTTAATCCATGATATACCCCTTTTCCTGAGTTTCTAAGGGTCATGATTATGAAGCCTCAGCAGAGTGGACAATTATGTCTAAATTGTAATTAAAAGTAGTAGCTTTAAGTGAATGCTTATTTGCTTAAAACAGCAGTTGGCTCTTAAATAGTTTTGTATCTGATCCTAATATGCTCTATAGTATTTCAGTATTACTTATACATTATATCCTGTTGCACTTTTTCTTTCAGTTGTCGCAACATCACCATTATTGCTGGGATTCTAAGAAATCTCTACAAATGCCCCTGATGACATCAGAAACAATTGGTTCTAATCCTGTGAACTCCCTTGTGAAGAAAGCGTGCGATTCCTTTGGTTTAGAGGCCATATCTCTCAGGTCATCCAGAGGTGCCCAAGCCACACCAACAGAGAAGATGGTGATACCTACAATGGAAATATTTTTAAGGGAATGTAAACCCAAGTTCCAGTTTACATATAAAATTACACATAGTTTTAATATATTAAGACATAGTTGCAGATAAAACTGCCTAGTAATGTCTGAAGAACTAAATCCCCTGTAGCAGATGGTTAGGTAAGTTTTAACAGTCATTGTGATGAAAATGGCTAAACAGTGTGGTCAAAACCAGAGCTTTACTGTCTGTGTAATTACCAGGCAAATGATCACTGACAGAAAAAAAATTTTTTTATAAAGTTCAATATCCATGATGATAATTATTAGAAATAACCTGATAAACATCTTTAAAAAACAACAAAAAAACACCCTACAGCAAACATATTTAGTGAAATGATGAAAACTTTACCTCTGAGATTGGTATGAGCTTAGTATGCCTGCTATCCTCACTTTAGTTAACCATTATACTGGAGTCAGGCCGTTATAATTGAGTAAGAAACTGGCACAAGAGGTGGGGTACAGAAATGGTGAAATTTGTCTGAGGCTGCACTGTCAGGGAATGGTGACTAGTCGTCTGTGAATAACTTCCATTTAAGTCTATATGTTACATTGGCAAACTGACGAGTAAGAAATTGTCAGCCTTTAATCCCAAAGCAAAAATCTGGTGATAAAATTAGCCAAAGAGAGCCCTTGCAGGATAGCTCAGTTGATTAGAGCATCATCCTCATATACCAAGGTTGTGGATTCGATCCCTGGTCAGGGCCATACAAGGACCAATCAATGCATCGTAAGTGAAACAACAAATTGATGTTTTTCTCTCCCTCTATATATAATCAATAAAAATAAAGCCAGAAGAAATGCCTGTGAAGCTGGAATTTCCTGTTACATTGAGGCATTCCAACTGCATTCCCTTGAGTACTAGAAGGCTTTTATCCCAACTGTACATTTTGGTCAGGGTGCTGTTGCATTAGTTTGATTTGCCTCAATCCCAATTGTAAAAGTGGTTTAGTAGATTCTTAGTGTACTGTCCTATCTTCTGGGTGCAATGCCCCATAACATTTTGGGAGTTTCTGCAATAGCTACTCCCCTCCTATCCAAGGCTTCATTCCCCTTCTAGTGGTATACAGTGTTCAGAGTTGTGGAAGCTTAGGATACAAACGAAGCAGGTTTAGATGATACAAAAGCTATTTCAAACAATTTAGGATTTATCACCACCAGCCAGTCCCTCTCTGGCAAGAGAAAAATAAAAATTTTCCTCCCCCTTAGTTTTTCTCACTTTTAATTCTGCAGTCAAGCCTAGAGAGTTGAGCTCAGGCCCAGTATATACTCATAGTTAAAAGAACAATATAAAAATGTTTGTGACATAGCCCAGAAAGTCTATTTTCTGGCTTTTGTTAAATAACAATACTATTCATGAAAAGTTCAATTAATCATATAGGGAAAATATATTTGAAATAGACTAGTTCACTTAATTTAGCCTGAATCCAATCCTGTTAACCATAATTTAGTTTAGTCATCTACATTTTTTAAGGAGTATGATAGAAAAGAGGTCTTCAACATAGGCTAGTTTGCTGATGTATAAAATAAGCCAGATGTATAAAAATAAGCCCATGTATCACTTCAATTACATGTATCAGTTTTAATAAAAATATCCATCAATATTTATAAAATACACAAATGCATTAGCAGAGGTGCTAATGTACAAAAAAAAAGAAAAAGGTTATTCACAAATAGGGAAAAGGACGTGCAGAAGAGTACAGAAAAATGGAAGGCTGCTAAACCCTCTCCCAATTGAACATTTTTGTTTTTTAAATATTGGACTCCAGTCACTCAGTTTCATCCCTGGAAAGGGAACCCCCAGCTATTTGTTGGCCTATTTGATCTCAGCAACACATGCTAATGTCTTCAGGAACTAGCGGCCTTTGCCAAAAGTAATATTAAGGTTGGGGTAAGAAAGAACCTTTTTATACTCTCTTATAACATCAGAGTGTGTTTTCATTGTCAAGAAAAAAAAGACACTTAAAAAGTTTAGATGGAATAGAATTTAAATTTCATTGGTGACCTTATCAACTTAGAAAGCTCAACCCAGCCTGAAAACTACTAAAAAAAAAGTTAGGATACATTTTCAAATAGCAGATTCACAGTAAATTATGATAAATTGTGACTAGGGGTTGGAGATGGTGGATATATTCCAAGTTTGAGTCAAATGTGAACCTATAACATTTCCATGACATGTGACATGGTTCTCATGGTATTTTCCCAACAATACAGTGGTCAGAAGTGTGGACTCAGCTAGACTGCCTGGGTTTGAATACTGGCCTGACTTAATGTGTGCTTTGGGTGAGTTTATTTTCTTATCTGGAATGAAATTAGTAGAGCTGCCTTGACAATTGAATCAGCTAATATTGGGTAAAGCTTTTAGAATGTGACTGTGGCATTGTAGATGTTTATTTAATGAAATAAATGCTTAAGTTTACTTCTAAAATTTACTGAACCCCTCCTCAATTTCCCTTCCCAAAGGACAAGGAAGGACCTTACCTGCATCATGTGCAGCAGCAGCAGGGCCTCGAACATCATCATAGGACTGCCCATCTGTGACAACTACCAGGAAGTTCTTGTTGGGGCTGTCCCTCACGGGACCAAACACATTTCTAACAGTAAAAGAAATGGCATCACCAGTAGCTGTTCCACCACTCATATAGCGGATGTTTCGGATAACCGCTAGGACATTCTCTTTGGTGCTATAGTCAGTGAAACTGAATTCTGTGCGCTGATCGTAGGTGAACTGTACAGCAGCTATCTTGGCACCAATGTCTGAGATTTCAAAAGTCTTGGCTATGTTGGAGACAAATTCAAGCATGATACGGAAGTTACTATCCCCAACGCTGCTAGAGCCGTCAATTAGAAAGGCAATGTTCACTGAGTTATAACAGGTCTTGCTGCACATCATTTGCTCGTGAGTGCAGAGCTTCTGCACTAGAGGCTTTACATATTTTGTGGTGCCAAACCAGTTGGGCATGTGGTAAGAGAAGAAACCATTATTCCGACAGACAGCCTAATGGAAGGGAAGAACAGAAAAGATATCCAAAGGGATCAAAAATTGTTTCTTCTTAAAAATTATGAAATCTTGAATGTTAGATATGGGCCAGTCAGCACTATGCCTCAAGGTCCAAAATTGAATCACTACCATAACAAGACATCCCTCACCTCCTTACCTTATCAATAAATGCAACATCCTGAACCATCCCCAATTCTTCAGGGATGGGCTTGGCCACAGAAACTATGAATACATTGACACCAAACTCTCTAGCCACAATGCCTGCTTCCTCAATGTCATCAGAAGGCCAGCCATCAATAAATACCACCACCACTTTGGGGATCCCCTTTCTCACACCAGTTTCTGCTGTGAAGAATTTCTGGGCGGTGTGCTTCAAGGCTTTTCCTAGGAGTGAAAAAGAAGCAAACTGGAGCACCACTACTGCTCAAATGACATTTCTATTTCCCTATACCAACCTGATGCCACTTCGTTTAAGAATTTAACATATAGAGCCCGGTTCTATAATTGATGCGTATGGTGGGAAAGTTTAATAACCGGTCAGGCCAATTTTGTCTTCACCCATCCCATCACTTCCCCAAAGCTCACATTTCCTTTCATTTACGTCAGTCAGAAACACAACACTCCCACTCCTATACCCACGCTCTCCATCTCGCCCCTAGTGACTGATTAGTACCACTGAGGACTCAGAATAAGAAGTCTCCCTTCTGAGGGTCCATAGTGCTACTTTAGTTCTTCCTACCACATCTACATTTATTAGGTAAGTCTGTTGGTCTTTACTTCTTTTTAGCATTCCAAACAGGTACTTGCCTAAAGTGACATCTGCCCTATTCATTATAAGGATTATGGGTCACGATGCTTTATTTTTTTTAATAAATAAAATTAACCCTTTGGTATATTTTCCATTAAAAATTGAGCACCTCAGATGGTCAAGTGCATACTAGCCAAGATTCCAGAGACAGGAAGAAGCGTTTCACATCTCCTTATATAAAAAAAGCACAATACTGTTTTACATATCTAATCATTCATAACCTCCTGTGTTATATTCCAGGTGCCAAAGTCTACTTACCTGTATTGGAATTACCTCCTCGGAAACCTACTTCCTTTATGGCAAACAAAACATCTTTGGCTGATGTAAAGTTTTTCAAGTAAAATTCTATTTTGGGGTGTTCACTACGTGGAAAAATGAAAAAAAAAAGAGAATTGGAAAAGGAAAATGAGCAAATTATATATCTTAAACTTTAAAGTGGACAATGTCTAAGTTTCTTTCTTAATCCCACATTATATCATCAACGAAGACATTGCATCTTTACTTGAATTTTTAGGGATCTTTTAAAAATGTAACAAAAACAATTGCTATCTTAAGGATTTACTATAGTCTTGGTAATATGCTATGTGTTATGTATAATCTCATTTCATTATAACTCTAGGATATAGAAATTATTATCCCTATAAGAAACAGGCTCAGACATTTAGGTAATTTTCCCAACAAAACATAGCCACACTTTAAATTCAGATTTGTTTGGCTCCCACTCCTGCACCCAAAGTCCATACCTAAACTATTAGGAGCACCTGAAACCAGGCCCGGCTCAGGGCACTGGGCTTAACCGCAATCTGCCTGGTGTGGGGCGGGTCTGGCCCAGGGGACCTGGAAGCACTGAACAGTGCGGGTCTATTAACCCAGGTCTCTGGTCAGAAGAGGCAGCTTCAGTGACACTAAGGCCAACATTTTAAATGGGAAGTTATAAGGAAACATTATAAAGTGTGACGATATTGAGTTTTTCTTCTAATAAATGATGTTGACATTTGCTAATCTGAAAATGATGTATATGGTAAGAGGTTCGAGATTTTCCATATTTAATAGCAAACAAATCATGGCTCACTTTCATAACTACTCTGTTCATTAAAGACCATGTTGAGTAAAAACAGTTAAAGCACAGTTTGATGCACTGTTTTTAGATGTCAATATTTCATAAGTGCAAAATTTTAAGGTTTTTGTATCAGTTACCATTAAGTCAAGATTTTTGAGGGACAACTGTAGCACTGATTGTCTTGCCTGATGGTATGATTTCTGTATACCTGGTGGAATGCTGGGTCACAAAGTCAGATTTCATGGGGTGATAACCTTTTCACTTTTATGGTCACTTCTCAACTATCCAAATTATGATTTATGAAATTTAGTCTTCTTTTGCATCCTTAATGATATATTGTTATCTGCTTAAATAGAAACTCTTGATATAGTTTATTCTAATGTTCTTCTTAAAATAGAAAAACTATAAACCAGGACATTTATAGAAAAGTGAATCTTCGGGGTATTGTAGTTTTCATCTTGAAAAATAATTGGGTAAAAATAGCAAAGGAAAAATGTATGAAGAAAAGTACTGTGGGGAATTTGCCTTATGGGATGTTAAAATGTACAATAAAGTGACAAAAATCAAAGCATTGTAGAAAGGATGTAAGAAGTAGCAAATGGATCAAAGAAACAGACTTGCCTAAACTTGTATATAAGATTATCACAAATCAATGGAATAAGAAGCTCATTTTTAAAAGGTGTTGAACAAATGGTTAAAACAACAAATGGTTTTTGTTGTTAAAACAATAAACGTTTTGGCTCAGTGGATAGAGCATTGGCCTGCGGACTCAAGGGTCCCAGGTTCAATTCCGGTCAAGGGCTTGTATCTTGGTTGCGGGCACATCCCCAGTAGGGAGTGTGCAGGAGGCAGCTGATCGATGTTTCTCTCTCATTGATGTTTCTAGCTCTCTATCCCTCTCCCTTCCTCTCTGCAAAAAATCAATAAAATATATTTTTAAAAAACCACAACAAATGGTTAAAACAACAAAGTTACATTCTCACACTAAAAAAAAAAATTATCTAAATGAAGAACCAATTGTAAAAAATAATATAAGAACAAATTAAATATAAATTAATATCTGTAATAGTACTGGAGAAAACCCTTAAAAAATGACAGTAGTGTAAACTGGATCAACAAGTAGTGTAACAGTTTATTTCAGAGTACTTAAAAATGTCAGAACCCTCTGACCCAACCCCACTTCCAGGAATCAAGTCTAATCAGAGACACCACGCAGATGTCATAAGGATGTTCATCACAGCGCTCGGTGTAATGGTAAAGAAGCAATAGAAGAATGGGTAAGTAATCAATCATGCAGAGTAACATGAAACATTATTTTCTGAAGAATTTTTGTGACATGATAAAATGCTCAGAATAGTCGGGGATGAATAAAACAGGATATAAGACATTTTTATAGTCTGAACTTTTAAAAATCAAGAAATACCCTCATAGCCCTAGCCGTTTTTGCTCAGTGGATAGAGTGTCAGCCTGGGGACTGAAGGGTCCTGGGTTCTATTCCGATCAAGGGCACATGCTGGGGTTTGGAGCTCAGTCCCCAGTGGGGGGCGTGCAGGAGGCAGTCAATAAATGATTCTCTCTCATCATTGATGTTTCTATCTCTCTCCCTCTCCCTTCCTTTCTGAAATAAAAATATATTTTTAAAAATGCATTAATGGATAAACAAAATGGTAGGGAGTGCAGGAGGCAGCTGATCGATGTTTCTCTCTCATTGATGTTTCTAGCTCTCTATCCCTCTCCCTTCCTCTCTGCAAAAAATCAATAAAATATATTTTTAAAAAACCACAACAAATGGTTAAAACAACAAAGTTACATTCTCACACTAAAAAAAAAAATTATCTAAATGAAGAACCAATTGTAAAAAATAATATAAGAACAAATTAAATATAAATTAATATCTGTAATAGTACTGGAGAAAACCCTTAAAAAATGACAGTAGTGTAAACTGGATCAACAAGTAGTGTAACAGTTTATTTCAGAGTACTTAAAAATGTCAGAACCCTCTGACCCAACCCCACTTCCAGGAATCAAGTCTAATCAGAGACACCACGCAGATGTCATAAGGATGTTCATCACAGCGCTCGGTGTAATGGTAAAGAAGCAATAGAAGAATGGGTAAGTAATCAATCATGCAGAGTAACATGAAACATTATTTTCTGAAGAATTTTTGTGACATGATAAAATGCTCAGAATAGTCGGGGATGAATAAAACAGGATATAAGACATTTTTATAGTCTGAACTTTTAAAAATCAAGAAATACCCTCATAGCCCTAGCCGTTTTTGCTCAGTGGATAGAGTGTCAGCCTGGGGACTGAAGGGTCCTGGGTTCTATTCCGATCAAGGGCACATGCTGGGGTTTGGAGCTCAGTCCCCAGTGGGGGGCGTGCAGGAGGCAGTCAATAAATGATTCTCTCTCATCATTGATGTTTCTATCTCTCTCCCTCTCCCTTCCTTTCTGAAATAAAAATATATTTTTAAAAAATACCCTCATATAGACAAATATTTTCTTAAAATACTGAAAAGAAAAAAAACATTCTACAGTGATTATCTCTGGAGGTTATATTTGGATATTTTTTCTTTATGTTTTTTAAGCTTTTTATGATACACATCAATAAGTACTATTTTTAAGAGAATAAACATTAAAAGGTCAGGCTTCAAATCTCCAATTAAGGGAATATGGAAAGAGCTAAAAAGAATAACAGAATAGGGAGGAGTTACAGATATATCACTGCCTGTTTTTCCTTCAGCAAAGAGAAATGAAGAATTGAGTAGAGTAGATGTGCAAAGGTAATTTGTATGACGAACAAACCTTTCAGTCCACAAATAGCATATAATTCTCTAAGTCCTTTTCTCCAAAAAGGAAGTACTTAGACTTACCCAATCTGCTTAGGCAATCCTAAATCCTGACTTTATAGTTTGGGAATCCAGATTGTCCACAACTCAATACGTTTATTGAACTGAAACAAATGTACCTATAAAAGGACTGATTATTTGTCATCATTCAAGTCTCCTCCCATTATAACAAAGTTGATACCTGGCTTGAACGAGGCCCACATGTGGTCCTTCTGTTCCAATTCCCAGCATGAGAGCCACTTTCCCAACAAAATTCTTCTGTAGATTAAATCGGCGCTGCCCAATATTAAAACTTCCATCAATCAGAAATGCAATGTCTGCTTTACAGTCTGTGAAAACCCAAACAAGTCTTTTTGTTAGCAGTTTCAAGAGGGAAGGAGGGAGGAGGGAGAAGGGAGGGACAGAGTTATTTTCCCAAATGGCTATCTGGATCCTTACCTTTATTCCCAGCTTTCTTGTTGGGTGTTTTCTTTAGTCGTTTACCTGGTTGGGGGTGGGGTGGGGAAGGAAGCATTTGGCATCAGCAAACGGAAGACAGTTTCATAGCAAGAAGCCCACATAGGGAAAAGCTTATGACAAGTCGTGTCATTCTTTAAAAGATTTGTTTTTTGAAAATTTATTTCTTTACAATCTTCTGGACTGGGGAAGCAATGCCCCAACAAAGAAGTCAGTCGTGTAGGAGGCCTACATATTTGATATGCCTCCAATGCAGGACTTTCCAGTGCTGTGTGAGACAATGTAGGCTCCATAGTTCATACCTGATGGTGGCTGTGCTGTGGATGCGGCTTGTCCTGTGGCTTCCTGGGTTCCACTTTTGCCTTCTGTTAAAATAAAGAAGAGGCTATTTTTTCCTCTTCCTTTTTTATCATCAAAGCACAATAAATCTAATCTAGAGTTCTATAGGATGGTACATGTAACAGAGTGATGGCAAATTTCAGGAGCAACTGCTGCATTCTTGTTTCAAAGAACCAAAATGGATTCTTACCTATTAGGCTTTTTTTTTTTTTTCTTTTTTTTAAGAGAGAGAGGGAGAGAGAGAAACATCAATTCGTTGCCTCCCATAGGCAGGGCCCTGGCTGGGGGTTCAAACCCACAACCTGGGTATGTGTCCTGACCCGGAATTGATCCTGTAACCTTTTGTTGTAAGAGATGATACTCCAACCAACTGAGCCACACTGGCTAGGGCAGGTCATATTTTGAAAAGATCACCAAAAATGAATTCACATTCATTCACTCACTAGTTTTTTTGATTTAGTGTTACGTGGTCAGGGCATTCTGATTACAGACCATTCAAGTTTCTACTGCCCCCTTCTGACAGCAAGATTATTCCTCCCTAGTCACCAAGTTTGGCTTGAGTGGGTCCTTGACTCTTTGGGTCCCCTGACTCTAGCCCGTAGTTGACCCCTTCGATCTTGACCACAGGTTTTGCCATCAAAGTTAAAGATGTTGTTTGGCTGAGAAAAGCAGAAAACGTTTTTTTGGGGGGGTAGGGGCAATGTTTATACAAAAGTAAGAACATAATTGTACCTACTCGTCACTGTGAAAGAAGCAGACCATCTGGAAAGTGTTTGAGACTGGATGCCATTGGCAACTACTGAGGAGTAGTTTTCTCGACCAGGTAGGCTATAGATTCGCACAGGCCCCCCGGAGTTGCTGATTACTCCCCTGCAACACAAGAATAACACCTGAGATCGACCCACACTTTTCAGGGCATCCAACTGACTGGTGCCATGTTGCATCTGTTATTTGATTAATCAGGAAAATAGTTCAGCAGGAGACCCATCTAAGAGTGCTTCCAGCCTTTTTAAAAAACTTGCTTACACAGGTACAGCATCTGCCTGGGAAAATGGTTTTGTGCTGTCAAGCTTAAGTGTTGATAAGAACACACTTGTAGTATGTTCCCTCATCTGTAAAATGGAGTAAAATTGTACCTACCTTGTAGAGTGGTAGAGTTGTCATGGAACTTAAAACAATGGCTGGCACATACTAATATATTACATGATTAGCAATGTTTTAGAATCACAGAGCTAGCTATCAAGAAATAATACAATTTGCCATCGGTCAGAAAGCTTCCCTTGTGTAGCTGGTGTTCAAGGATATTCAGGAAAACCTTCGATGCCTATTATGGCACCACAAGAAAGAAAAGATGGGGGATACAGATGGCTAGAGAGGGAGAGAAAATAATCACACTTGCGTTTCTCTCCCCTTGGCAAGTTTGGGCTTACTTGTGGACAGCGGCGCCGCATATGCTTGACACAGAAGCATATACTATGTTCCCAAACACGGAGAATTCCTCAAGGGGGCAGTCCCCGGGGCAGAGCACATCTGCTTTCTCTTTCCTGATGTCCAGGCCTCTGGTAAAGCACGTGATAGCAATGGGCACTGAAGAGGAAGGAGAGAATGTAATAACCGTTCTTAGGACATTTTGGGCAGTGGGGGTGAGTGTGTGTGGGGGGGACTAGGAGATGAGATTGACATTTTACTTCCCCGATTTCGACACTTCTTATTAGGAATATTGACTTATACACTGTCCCACACCATTCCAGATTTTAGCAAGCTGAAAATCCGTTCTCCAATTTAATCTAGTCCTCAGCCACTAAAAAGTCTAATGGGAAAATTTTCTCAGTTCTTATCAGTTTGAAAATACATGATTGGGAGGTTAGGGGGGTGAGAAGAGATAAACCAAAGAACTTATATACTTACTAGAGGCCCAGTGCACAAAAATCGTGCACTGTAGGGGGAGGATCTCGCAGTCCGGGAACCCTCAAGGGATGTCTGACTGATGGCTGAGCAAGCCTAAGCCAGCAGTCAGACATCCTTAGCGCTGCTGCCACTGCTGCTGTGCTCACCAGCCATGAGCCTGGCTTCTGGCTGAGCAGTTCTCCCCCTGTGGGAGCGCACTGACCACCAGGGGGCAGCTCCTGTGTTGAATGTCTGCCCCTTGGTGGTCAGTGTGTGTCATAGTGACAGGTGGTTCCACCGTTTGGTCGATTTGCATATTAGCCTTTAGTATATAGCATATGCTTAAGCCCATGGACACAGGCAATAGAGTAGTGAAGACCTTGTATACCTGGTGTTCAAGGATATGAGGGGCAGTGTAGGGGCTGGGAGGAGGGGGGGGATGGGAGATATCTGTAATACTATCAACAATAAAACTATATTAAAAAATAAAATACATAATTGAACTATATGAGAACTAGAAAATAACACTCATTGGCCATTTATTAATTTGTTCTAGAAATATAAAGATCTCACTTCTGATGACAACTGTGTGCATAGTTGCCTGAGGGGACGGTATTAAATCTGGGTTGAGCCTGTGAGGGACATTTTCATAGACACATGCACAAACCTAAGTCATCCTTTGCTTCAGAAGCACATCTATACCAGTTTTCCTCCAAATGCAGTGCCTTTAAATTATATCAATGTAAGCAAATCAGTAAAAAGATGCCTCACTTTATTGAATGTCATCTAGCTCAATCACTAATTTTACAAATGAAGAAATGAAAGCCATGTGCTAATCTGCCCAAGGTCACACAGCCCACAGAATATTCTGCAACTCCTACAGGACAGGAAACAGGGAAGTTAGTCCCTTCAGAATGGCGCCTGCTTATTCCTGTTCCAGAGAACTACCTCAGGCAGTGAATGGATTTTTAGAAAGCACTGTTAATACTGTCAAGTTTTACATGGCCAACCCAACTAATAAAGAATCTAAGTTTTTACTATAAAACAAGCCTTTGGCAACATGTAACAAGATACCATAATACAACATGTTAATTCATTAATTCGCTATAAATATTGAATTTATTTATTTTTAATCCTCACCCAGAGATGTTTTTACTGATTTTAGAGAGGGGAGAAAAAAGAGAGGGGGAGGGGCGGGAAGAGCGAGAAAGATTGATTGGCTGCCTCCCGCAATCCCAGGACCCCAGACTGAACCCCTAACCTTTTGGTGCAGGGAAGACGCTCCAACCACCTGAGCCCCCTGGCCAGGCAGGACCCCCTCCTAAGGGCCCTCTGTGTTGAGCTGTACCCTGTACTGTAAGGTCCAGGGAAGGCAGGATGCCAGGTACACTGCCAACCCCTTGGCTCTGAAACATTCTAGGGTGTCGGGGGAATGAAAATCTTTACCAAAAACAGTAGCCTCACACCTGCTATCAAACAGCCTTAATTCTTCCTCCCATTTTCAGTGGCATCAGCACATTACCCTTATCTGTCAACACTGACTTTAGTGAGCGTGTGCGTGGGGGACGAGGGGGAGAGGAGAGTTGCGTGGGGCTGAATACAGCCGGTGCAAGCCTTACCCTCATTTTTCCTTTCAAGGAAAACAAAGGATACATTCTGGAAGGGTTTGCGTTTTACTTTGTAGAAAACACACCGAACCACACACCCATACTCGGACTTCTACACGTGGAACAAACTCTAAAACGACTCCCAAATGCTAGGGCACACTCCTAGAAACAGAGCCAGGGGTCAAGCCTCTCTCTCGTCAGCTCTGATCGTCTGAAGTCGGGTCTAGAGGGCTTCTCCTGGCTCCCAAGACTGCGGAACACCCGGGACTAGCGAGGCCCCCCTCTTCCGAGGGGCTCCACTAATACCCCCTGCCTTGACCGTCTGCTGGCCGGCTGGCCGGCGGGCCCCGGGGATGTGGGTGTGCAGGGGGGTAGGGGGCTCCCTTCTCCGTAGCTTGGAAAGAACGTCCCCTTCGGGCCGGAGGGGCCCCCCCCGCGTGGGAGAAACGGGTCAGCCCGAGCAGATGGGCCGTAGGTCTGAACGGGAGCGCCAGGCAGCCCTCCCACCTGCACGCGCTCCTGCTCCCGCC